TTAGCAAATTTATTTAATTTTAGGGGTAGCAAAAACCCCAAAATTTATGCAGATCAGTTATGACCTATATTGAAGATATCCAGGGTCCTCCCATTCCCCCTTTTGCTATGAGGTCCCAAATAGGGGTCTCAGAATTAACTTATTTTGAAAATAAGTCAGAGTTTAAAGACCTATTTTGTTTTAAAATCTCCTATTTCATTCATAATGAAACTTACATGATTGCCTTTTTTTGGGGGTTTTCTTTCATGGTTATTAGAATATGAGTCATGATCATCATTGCGAATCCTAAATAAAAAATAATACTAATAATAAATAAATAAAATTACTGTGTAAAAATAGTATATATAAGAATAAAAATAATTTATTCATATTATTTCTTTTTCGTAATGTTGAGAATAAATTTTATTTTCTTCTTATACATGAATGTTTAATGTTTCGCTACATAATTAGAAGTTCATATACTCAGCAGAAAAGGAAATTGATAAGTTAAAATTACAACATTGTGCTTACCTTTTCAAGAGCCTTATTTTTCATCAAAGTGCAATCTTATCCAACTGAACTTTCTACATGTTCGTGTCAACTTGTACATAAAACAACTCTAGCATAACCACCAAGATCAGTTACATCGGTATTTAAAATTGGAATTAAAAGCTATTACACACTTTAAATTTATATAATTTAAATCAAAATAATAATAATAATAATAATAAATATAAAATAAAATACGCAATAATTTTTTTATTAAGCAATTTTAAAGATAATTGTATGCAATACAAATATAAATATTTTGTTCGTCAAATTCTATTATTTTTTTTAAATAAAAAAATATGTAAAATGCAATTATTTACTGTCAATAAAATGTATTTTTATTTCGTCCATTCCATGTCTTTGGAAGATTTTTTGCATATTCCAAACTTTTAATATCATTTACCATTTTTTGAATTGGTATAAAGTTCAATTTAATGTTTTCTAACTATTTTTTTTGTTGTGGAAGATCAAAAGATTTTTTAAGAAGATTAAGCGCCTATTATTTGTACCAAGTGATTTTTAATTATGTATATAAACATAAATGATTACTATATTAATAAACTATACCTCATTAAGAGTGGTTTTGTAATTTTTTACAATTTTCGACTCAATTTCAGGTTTTTTATTATCTAACACATTTACTTCATCTATGTTATATTCATCCAAAGGTGTTGAATTTATTGGTAAAATAATTTGTGGATAATTAATTTGTACAGATGTACAAATCATCTCCCACTTAGTTTGTTCAGTTTCTGTAATAAGTGGATAATTTGAATTTCGTTAAATCTAAAATTATAATAATTATTAAAATTTTATTTTTTATAAATAAACAAATATATCATACATAAATATACTTTTCGAAAAAATAAAGCTTCCATGTTTCCAAGTGAATTAACGAGATGTTTACATAAATAAAATCTATTAGTTAAAAAATAAGAACAAGAACATATTCAATGCTTATTATCTGTTAGATATTTTTACTATATGTGTAGTTAGACTTTTCCATTCTTTTTTAAAATCATTACGCCATGAAGGCAAAATTCGCTCATTTAAGAGTAACTGAAAACGTTATAACTACATCGGTAATAATTTTTCAATAAGAATATAATATACAAGATCTATATATGGTTGGTTAAATTTATATAAGTAATCTCTTTTTAAAATTTGCCAATGAGTTTCAATAATTATAGTTGTTTGAATTATGGAAATTTCTGGAGTAGCAGATAAAGCCCAAAGCTTCCATCTGTCCCATCGATACCATTTATTCCAACAGTAAGCCCACACATGTAAAAAATTATTTTGATGGCAATAATCAAACATTTTATGTACTGCACGAAGCCAAATTTCATGAGATGATGTTACAAATTCTTTGTTAGCAGTTGGTATTAATATATGGCGATGAAAATGTATTTCAAAATAATTTAATATATCTTT